AGTCTTCCTAAGGAAATGGTAGTATATTCAGGGAACATGTGGGCAAAATCATGACAGTATATCACAAGCCTAATTCTTGACCATACATACTAGAAAGATCACAGAAATTCCTCACAGGAAGCTAGATTCATATAACAAAATTTCATGCAACATATGGCATATGGGAAAAAGCAAGGACATTATAATCACTAGCATAGTTTATACCCAAATGAGTTGCAGATGGTGCACTATGTGCTCACAGCTGATTATCACTAATGCAGATATATATTTACTAATATTTAGAAGATGATGAAGTATAGCAAAATATACAAAACATTAGTCCTTAAATCCAACACATTTTCTGATTTTCATACCATCTAGAATAATAGATTTGACGTTAGGTACAATATCAGAATTTTGGGTACATGAAATGTGAAATGGTTTTTTATTTTTAGTCACTGTTTCTAGTAATTTGTTCGAAAGTAACAAATAAGCTGGTTTCAGTCTGTCAATGAAATGTTAACTTGTCTGTCCTTAATTAAGACTCGGAAATATTTATCATATTTTTTCACCACAAAAAAATGGTCCCTCAATAAGCAAATTCAAGTGCCTTTTTCACACGATCAGTTCTCACAAACACATGAGAACATGATCTCAAGTCTTTATGCATAAATATTTTATGTTTGTTAGCAGTTGATAAACTGGTGCTGATCCATAAAAGACAGTAAATTTGTTACAAATGGTTCAGGTTTAGTTTTAGTGGTAGGTAGTCGAAAAACTCACATGGTAACCTTATTTGCATAAAATATACCATTTGAGCTACAGAGTGATTAGTATCAGGACATATTGCAACTCTGAATCCTAGAAGGATTTCTGTCCATCTGATGTTGCTGTGAGCCTTTATTGCATTTTTTTAAGTTCTGAGAAACTGCTCAATTTTCCCACTGCAATGTGGGTGGTATGGAGTGGAACGTAAAACTTTAGCACCACATACTTTTGCAAGGCTCTTGAAAGGCTGCGACTCAAACTGTCTTCCTTGATCTGAGATTATGGAACTAGGCACAACAAATCTGCTAATCCAATGATTGTAAAATGCTTTGACAACCATTTCTCTTGTGATATCTGGTAAAGAAACTACTTCTCCCTAACAGGAAAAATGGTCAATAAATGTCAGATAATACGTCCTACCAGCAGATGGTGGTAATGGCCCAATCAGGTCAACTTGCACAATACTTAATCTAGCATGAGGTGCTTGGAACTCGGCTATTTTAGATTTTGTATGCCTGTTGACTTTGCTCCTTTGACAATTAACAGGACTTTAAGTCCTACCAGTCGCTTGGGCGAGCCCGTCGCAGCGGGACATTACCCAGCGAACCTGGGGGAAAACCCCCGGGCTACTAGTACCATGCCGCGCTAGGACGTGCCAGACTCCGAGGCCGGCCAATAAGTGACCTTTCCCAGAGCCTTCAGAACCACTAAGTTCATAAATTTTATACCCCCGTGGCCGAGACTGCCTAGATACAGATCCTAGCCAGTAGCTTCGCAGAGTTCTCTACGTCAACCCCGGGGGGGGGGAATGTCAGGCTGGGTACTGGCATTTCTATTTCCATCAGCTTTTTTGCAGCATCAAAAACCTTCATTCTCATGTTAGCAGACACTTTCCTTACTCTTTCTGGCTGGTGACAAATAGTTTTATTTCTTCTTGGCTCATTGCCGGAATCTGAACTTCCGCCGATCGGCTTATAGCAGCTATCATCATTTAAATTTTCTTGCCTGTCGGGTCACCAGATTTTATGACTTTCATCATCCCCAGGTTGCTGTTCAATGCTATCCGCTTGCTTTGAAGAGTTTGGAAACTTTCATCTCTGGATGCTCATTTTTGCTTCTGCAGGAAATCGTTATGAGCAAGCATTTTAAGGTGTTTTGAAGAAATCAAGGTCACATTCTTCAGCAGCAGTGAGAGGAACCACTACTTTCGAATATATATTCCAAGTTTGTGATCTCAGAAACAATAAACTGGAAAAAAATTGCTCATTAATAATGCAGAAATCAGTAAAAAATTCAATAAAACCATATGGCATGCTAGGCCTTCCTACAGTGCTCCTAACTGAAGTTGGCGCACCAAACTACTATAGCAGTATCAGGCGAAACACAAAGCGAGGGGAACTAGCAACTTAACGCTCACTGTCTCGGAGTCCTCTCCGCAAACGATATCTATACCCTCTTAAGCAATGTCCTTGCCTTATAAAGCACATGTTGTAGCATACAGGAAAGTCCCTCATGTCCAATAGAATTCCTGTAAATCCAACGTATCTTTTTGCTTTATAAAGCACATGTTGTAGCATACAGGAAATACCCAATGTCCAATAGAATTCCTGTAAATAAAACGTGTCTTTTTACTCAGTACAATTGTAATTTCACTTTCGATGCCAAGTTATTAATTTCCAATACTTTCAAAAATTTCTAAAGCCTATCAGAATACACAATGTAAATAATTGTATTGGAGATCTTTCTTTGTGGAGCTTTTCCTTGGAGAACTGGAGTTATACTGAAATTACTGATGAATAAAACCAAAATATTTCATTGCAGACAATGTTTACATTGAAAAGTATAACACTTGGTGCAGAAAATGCTCACAACAAGTTAGCAGCTATAAATGAAAGCACACAGGAATATTTGGAAGCATAACTGGATGAGGAAACATTCGGAAAGAGATATCTTCTGCAATGGGAATGAGCACAGGATATGTAATCTTCAAAAGTTGATTACTGAAATAAGGCAGAGTTCATCAGATACATTTTTTTACAGAAACAGTGACTTTGTGGAGGTCATTACAGAAATGTGGTTATACTTAAATTACTGATGAATAAAACCAAAATACTTCATTGTAGGCACTGTTTACTCTGAGAAAAACATGGTGCAGAAAATGTTCAAGTTAGCAGCTACGGGAAAAGCACACAGGAATATTTAGAAGCAGAAGTGGATGACAAAACATTTGGAAATGAGATCAATTTAATTTTCTGCAATAGCAGTGCAGCACTGGAGATGCTCTCTTCAAACATTGATTACTGAATTATGGTACAGTTATCAGACACATTTTTCTACAGAAGCAGTGACTTTGTGGAGGTCTTTCTTGGAGAAATGGAGTTATACTGGAATTACAGAAGAATGAAACCAAAATACTTCACTGCAGGCATTGTTTTACATTGTGAAGTATAACACGTGGTGAAGAAAATGTTCACATGTTAGCAGCTATGGAGAAAGCACACAGGAATATTTAGAAGCAGAAGTGGATGTGGAAACATTCGGAAAAGAGATCAATTTAATTTTCAGCAATCGCACTGCAGCACTGGAGATGCTCTCTTCAAAATTGATTACTGAATTAGGGCAGAGTTCATCAGACATATATTTATTTCTTGTATTCAAATTAAGTATATGTAGATGTACATCACTTAATGGCTATCACTGTTTACAAGCAGGTGTATACAGTATGGTGGAGAAAATGTTCACAAAAAGTTAGCAGCTGCACAGAAAATATACAGGAATGTTTAGAGAACAAGCATATCAGGCCACATGAGTACTAGAACAAATTCAGAAAAGAAAAAGATTTTCATTTTCTGCAACGGTAGGGCAAAAGAAACGATGTTATCTTTAATAATTAGTGGCAGTGCAGCACAGGAGATTATCTTCAAAAAATGACTGCTGAATTATGGCAGAGTTTATCAGACTTGTTTTGCTTTCTACAGAGGCAGTGACTTTATGGAGGTTTTCTTTACAGACATGTGGTTATTCAGAAGTTACTGATGATTGAAACCGAAAAACATCATTACAGGTATTGTTTACATAGCGAAGTATAATATGTGGCGCAGAAAATGTTCACAAGTTAGCAGCTATGGATCAAAGCACACAAGAATACTTAGAAACAGAAGTGGATTCGGAAACGAGATGACTTTAATTTGCTGCAATAGCAGTGCAGCACAGAAGATGTAATCTTCAAAAATTGATTACTGAATTGTCAGAATTCATCAGGCTTATTTTTCTACAGAAGCAGTGACTTTGTGGAGGTTTTCCTTGGAGAAATGGACTTATATTGGAGTTACACATGATTCAAACCAAAATACTTCTTTACCGCAAGTATTTAAGTTCAGAGGTGTAACATGTTGTGCAGAAAATATTCTCAACAAGTTATCAGCTATGGATCAAAGCACACAAGAATACTTAGAAACAGAAGTGCATGAGGAAACATTCAGAAAAGAGATGACTTTAATTTTTTCCAATGTTAGTGCAGCACAGGTGATGATGCTATTTTAAAAAATTATTTATTGAATTATGACAGAGGTCATCAAACTTATTTTCTTTTTCACAGAAACTGTGACTTTATGGAAGTCTTCTTTGCATAAATGTAGTTTTACCAAAGTTACTGATGATTAAAACCAAAATATATGATTGCACGCATTATTTACACTGCAAAATATAACATGTGGTGCAGAAAATGTTCACAACAAGTTAGCAGCTATAAATGAAAGCACACAGGAATATTTAGAATGAGAAGTGGATGATGAAACATTCAGAAAAGAGATGCAATGGCAGTGCAGCACAGGAGATTCTAGCTTCAAGTATTGATTACAGAATTATGGCAGAATTGATCAGACGTATCTATTACTGAAAGCAGAGACTTTTTGAACATATTTTTTTTAGAGAAATGGGGTAATATTCTAATTAGGTATGGATTTAATCATAATGCTTTGTTGCAGGCATAGTTTTTATTCAGACGTAGAAAATGTTACGGTGTGCTGGCTTGGCTTGTTACTGATTACAAATCAAAAATAATTTTTGGTTTCCTGATTCTTTTCTCTCCTGCATTCTTTCTAGGAGATGAAATAATTTTATCTGCTTCTGAAATTTCAATTTCTCTTTTTTTTTCTTGTGTTTGTTTTACAGAAGCAGTGGCCTGTTTTTGTTTCTCATTCTGTGCTCTAGCATCAACAATATACTACTTCGGTTCTCTAAGAGACATTTTTCTTGGTGCTCTTGGATCAACAAGCTCAGGAAGAATACAATTCACGTAAAATTTTTCGAGTTTTGGAACTAAACTGATCCAGAAAGTTTTGTCTTCGGGTATTCTTAATGTGATTGCATCTTCTCTGCACCATATATATAAATCACACCAATTCCTCTCTGTTATGGCTAACTGCCCTTGAATTTGAAAATAATATTTGTGGCTTTTCGGTAAATAAAGATTATTATCAGCATCCATCCGAAGACCAACAGAATTAGGCTTGCTGAAAAAGTCTGACAAGTCTGCTGAGAATCTGGCTGTATAAGGACATTTTATTTCAAGTAATCCATCTTCGTCTATCAATCCATCTGGCGAAGTACAAAGAAAGGGATATTTAGGATCAATAAAAAGGCCACAACGTCTGATGTTTTTTCCCATGTGCTTTTCCTTGTATTGATTTAAGGCTACTGCTTCGTTAGCCAAGCCATACTTTAATGCTTTAGTTGAAACGTTATCATTATATATGATACGTTTCACTAAAGCAGCACTGAGTGTTGTTGGACGCCTATCAGCAACATCTTTGAAAAAGGATGATGATATTCTTCTTGATCTTTCATGACGCCATCTTTCAGATGATGACTGTCCACGTGTTACGGCCTCAAGAGAATCTTTTTTTGGAACTTCAATTGATATAAAAAAATTTTTAGCTGCCAATTCATATGCTTCATCTGATAGGTCTGGTTTCTCAGGAAAATCACCATAAGAAATATCCCCACCTTGCTGAATATGTCCTGCTTTCCTCATATTTCTCTTTTTCTTCTCAGTGTCAAAAAGTCTACGTCTCTCAAGACGTTTTACATGGCGCTTATTTCTGGAAGCTAAGAATTTCAAAGTTGGAGTCCTGGGGCTACTTCCTGTTACAGCTTTTTGTGCATTTTTTTTGCCACTGCTGTGCTGGATTTTGATAGGCCATGACAGCAATACTCGCACGCCTGTTCATGCCACCAGCTTTGGAAAAATCAACTCTTTTTCCACCAGATGTTTTACACAGTTGACTCATGAAGCTTTCAGCAGGATTATTTGTGGCATTCCAAATAAGAGTACTGCTACACGATATCAGTACTCTTCCCACTTCTGCTTCAATAGCTTGCAACATACCCGAGGAAAAAATTTCATTGTATGTGCTGTCCAACTCTGCACCTTTCTTTGCACAAAAAGCACTACAAGCATCATGCTTGCCAAATATATGATGTGGCCCATTTCTCAAGTCAGATACTAATGCATCAATAGCTTCTTGTGTGTGCTGATAATGGCTAGGTAAAGCATGAGCTTTTATAGCTACTCTAGCACCTCTGACTAACAGTGGCATTTTAATTTTCAGCAATTTACGGGCAGCAATTCCTTTAGCCCCGGGGAAGCGCGCAGTATTTTGCTGAAGTTTCTCAAGAGCTCTGCGATATCTTCGAACAGCATGGTTAGCACATTCTACTTTGATCACCCGTCCTCCATATGAAACGCTTTCTTTCACTTTGGCCATTGTGTTAGCATCTCCATCTCCAACAAGTCGAGTACAACGTATTTTGTGAACACACTGGAGATAATTCAGACCTTCCACAATGGCACTGCTTTCCATACCTGTAGAAGGCCCATTCCAATTTCGCCAACAAAGGTGCACTTTATTTGGCATCTTGCCATCTTCAATAGCACTGCATATAAGGCACACTTTGTTGCGAATTCCAACAAACAAAATTTTCTGGGTGACCATGCCTATAATAACAGATATGCCACTTGAAGCATTGTAACCATGCCCATAGCTTCTTTTACACCAACCTCCATCAACAATGACAGTTATACAGTGATAACCATCATTATCTTTATCATTGCGAAGTTCTGCCTGCCTTTTCTCCTCTTCTATAGCAGCACACATAGTTTCCTGTGCACATCCCTGTATTATTTTGCCAGTAGTTCGCTCACAAGAAGCAAAGGTCGAGTTGCTCATATACGGAATTTCCATGATGCTAAACTTTTCCTCCTCTTGTGAAAATCCACTGCCAGTAGATAACGCACCTAATACTGCAAGCTGATTTAGGCTGCTTTTCTCCATATCAGAACAAATTGTTGCCATTTCCCCACATAAAATTTTATCACATACATAGTTATATGTAGTGACAAGACCACGTCGAATCACTTTGTTAAAAATAAATGATCCTCCAAATTTACAATTTAGGGAATGTTGCTCTAATGTCCTAGCCTGCACTATTACAAAAGACATATTGCAAATTGTTCTGCCAGATGGTAATGGATTTGCCTTTCGTCGATCTTCCCTTTCGATAATTAAAGGTGAATCAGGACACAGAAATTCATCATTAAGGTTCTCCTGAAGAGGCTCAGACTCCAAGCTAAAATATATATATATACAATATATATACATATATATTAATATATATAAATATATACAAATTAGGTTTAAATTTGGCTTATTTGATGACAGCAAAGCACTTGATCTTCCTAAGAGGAGGAATGCTTTCATGGAGGACTTTCTAAGGGAAATGGCTCATATACACGGGGGAAAACCATGAAAACGCCCATGCAGGCAGCCCATTCGCAATTAGGTTTAGGAAATTTAGGCAACAGATAGCAAATAAATTAACAATAATAATACACTGGATTACCAGTATATTACTACAAGAAGATGAGTCATCTTCACAACTGCTGCTTCCATGCTCGCAGTGTCATTTGCTCGTGCAATATTAGTCACTACTTTGTGTGCCGGAGGTTTCACATGAAGGGCCTCTACACCTGAGTATAAAATGTTCGTGTTCCAGTAAACACTGAATTCAGAGGGGCAAGAATAACTCTTTCATGGTGGATAACTCAGTTACCAAATGGCTTTCTAAGGCTCTATTCAAGCCGTTGTATAAATGTCATAATTCCCAACTAACAACGCTTTGTAGTCAGACCTTGCTATGTCACAAAAACTAGTTTGGGCATTAAGCTTGAAGTTTTCAACTTTGTGCCGACTTGATATAAGAGTCGGCCAATCAGAGCATATACATAAAACCTATTGAGAGAGAAAGCTGTAGACACATACATGCATGCACAAATTTAGCTTCTCTAATTGGCTATGGCTTAGACCCTCTCTCGCAGGTGTGAATGGAACTCCCACATTTTGTGCCTTATGATTATGCGTCTATGACATTTATACCATCATGTGAACGGAGCCTTAGGATGGCATACTAAGAAGATGCACTGTCTTGTGGGGATAAGCAATTTATACTCCTAAGCCTAAAAAAAAACTTGGAAAAAAAAAAAAAAAAAAAATCACGACTTAAATTTGTTGTCTAATTGCTCTAATTTGAGGCACATTATGAGAGGAAAGCAAAGGTAGTAATCAGAATTATTTAAAAAATTTTATCCTTATATTTTTCTTAAAAATTCTGTAAAATAATAAAATTTGTGGTTTTCCTCAAATAAATATATATGGAAAAAATAACAGCCACATAATCACAGATTTCATTTTGTTATATTTTATTAACAAAATTTAAATTATTAAAAAATCTCTTTCATGAAGGGAACATAAAACATCATGAAAACAATGAAAAAGAAGCAATATTTAAAAAAGATAGTAGGCTTATTGATGAGGCTCCCATCAAAAGAATCAAACCCCAAAATATTTTCATTTGCTTCAGTGTCCCGACTGAAAATTTCACTGATTTCAATGAATATATTTTTAAAAAAATCTTTTATTTTCAAGTTCTTTCATGCAAAACGTCCAAATTTGGTACAAATCAAATTCATCCCCCTCTTTTTGATAGCTACAATATTATATTTAACAGTTTTAATAGCTATCAGTATGTAAACAACATAATGTAACACCATAAAAGAAAAACATAAATGATGACATTTTAATTTTGGCATAGAGAAATACATATTTACCCCAAAAGAGAGCTTGTATTTCTACCTTCTACGTCAGAGTCAATAACTGAAATGTCCAGATCAGAACTGAGAAGAAAAGAACCATAATTAGTTTAATTAAGATACAATAACACACCGACCAAGTATTAATTTGAGAGTCAAGCAACAAAAATCAGCATCATATTTTGAAATATTCACTATTTGAAAATATAACGCTGATTTTGGTTGCTTGACTTCTAAATTAATACATAATTAGTTAACCATAATTAAGTAACTGTAATATCATGCACAGCTAATATCTATTTTAAAAATAAACCAACTTACCTCAGGAAAGCCTGGTTTGTCTTAGGAACATTAGCTGTAACTTCTGGCGTAGAAAAGTCAAATTTTTCACTTCCGGACCTAAGAATGAAAGAAATAAACTGCTATAACATAATTAAAAAAAAAAAAAAAAAAAAAACATGAATAAATAAATAACACATAACAAATTTAAGCATTAAGCTATGTATGACTACCACCCATCTCAGACAGTGCGACAGATATTGCTGTATACTGTTTCGCCATACCCTGTGTAGCTATTATATCATGCTGTATAACCACAGTTTAGAAAAATTACAAAATGTGTTATTTATATCTATCTAAAATGGTACATTACTACATGATTTGTAAGAATAAATTAGAGGGCTCTGCGAATGAAATTCCTTCCAATTAAAAAATGTAGGAATAAAGAAAATGCAGGAATTGCAAATGCAGAAATGAAAAAGGGGATTATATTTTTTGTACAGAATCCAGATGACATATTTTTCAACATTTTAGAAATTTCAATATTAATTTTAGGGGCATAAAATATTAGGCCCCTAAAAGCAGAATATAGTTTTTTAAATGTTCAGATAATCTTCCTATGAGAAGAATTCCTTTGAGAAGTACACATCTGAACCACAATTAAAAAACATGTACAAGAACAGAGCTGAGGACTTCTGTTTGCAGAAAGTCTGTCACATAACATATGAAAAGTTTCTTATTGGTAGATTTTTGATCAGACAGGATATTTTAATGTTATACAGAGAAAGCATTCACTCCCTTTATACTGGAGATAATTCAATTTGGACAATGGCAAAAAGGCTAAGCAAGCCTGAGCGTATTGGTCCCATTCTTGGCACTAGTTTGGTTTACGCTCAAAATACACAGCAGATATTTTCTAATTACCTGCATCCCAATATCAATTCAATTCAGCTTTTGGTGGAATTTAACATTTGTGACATATTTTTCAAAAACTACACTTCACAACATGCATACATGACAAATACACAGAACCATAAATAAACAAGCAATAATATATATTTATATATAAATTTTACTAAATGATCATAAAATGTTCCAACGCTAAAAGAAAGTTTTAACATCCAAGTAAATGACATAATAAAAAAAAGCAAGTTGAACAGCGAGCACATGAATAAATGTGCATACACCTGTTAAAAATATACCATAGGTAACTGACAAAGCATTTCGTAGCAAACATATGACTATAAAATTTCCAATAATACATGTAATGATGGTGAATTCAATTTAGATCGCAAGAACATGCTCATACTTTTGAAAAGATTCAATTATTTCAGCAATTCCTTGTGAATTGGAATTTACCCTTTCAATATTTCCCAACAATTTAGTGTGAATGGAGGAATAAATTCTTATAACAGAATTGAACAATTATTAGCATCCCCTCATACACACACATACAAAAAAAAAAAAAAAAAAAAAAAAAAAAATTACTTTGTAAAAAAAAATCATCCGGGCAATGATTCTCCTTTGACACAGATGCAGTTGTATCAATAATTTCTGACCTTCAATAAAAAAAAAAAATACGCATATTTTACTTCGGAATTAACTTACTACGAAATCATAAACACGGTAGTCGATATAAAGAATAAATTATTTCTCACCTTTCGAAAACATCCGCTTGTTCGGAATCTTCCACATCTCGGGAATTTAATTTCATATTTTTTTCTTGAGCTCGACGTTTACGCTGAATTCTGGATCTTTTATTAAAACCAGGATGTTTTTTCGGTCGTCCTTGATATTTTCGCATATTTTTTGCAAACTGACCACAGTACAAATAAATGTAAACAAAACGAGTGCGGAATAGCAATGCAATAGGGTTGCCGTAAACGTCATTCTGCTGACAGCTGACAATGTTTAGTGAAAACTGTGTATAAAGGAATATATGAAACGCTTCTAAATATTATTTAGAAAAAAATATGATTTATAACTGATATCAAAATCAATTACTTCGTGAATTTTTGCAGAAATAAGATTACAATGTTAAATTTTAACTCGTAGCGCCATCTATTGATGGCTTTCCAAACTACACATTAAAATTACGTATTTCAAACTAATTTTTTTAAAATATAATATTTAAGTAAATTTCATTTCAAACCTGATTCTAACATTGTGATTCGAAAACTGACCTATTGCTTTATATTTCTGCCAAATTGCACGCAACATAGTTTCTTAATTAGCGATTCTGCGTGTAAAAAAATTTTTAGTATTGTAATGCTGCTGTAGTAGACCACCTTAAGTTAAATTATTTAAATATTAACATGAGTGGGAAAATAAATTGTATTTTATTATTAGGTGCCAAGCGAATACAATTAATATGGCTTATTATTAGTATTTATTTTCTATATTTTGAACTGAAATTTCATCATTAAATCTTGTAATATAGTTTAGTTCTGCATAGTTTTTTTTTCTCTCATTGTAAACTAATTCTGTAAATTGAACTGTCATTTAAAATTTAAAAAAAAAGTTAATTGTTTTCCATGGTTGGTAATGCTCATTCTCTTAATAAATATTGCATTGCTCATATTTTAAATTGCAAGTCTAATTTTTCTTTTAAGGTTTATGCAGTTGTGTATAATGTAATTAGACAGGTGCTTATTTTTTTCTTAAAATGTGCTTGAAAAATGCTTATAGGTGCTTATTTTTTTAATTAAAATGTGGCTATGAACCCTGGAGAACGCCTGGGATATTTTTTGCCATAAATAAGCACAATGTTAGCAAATTTAACGTTTCGCTCAGTTTTGTAAACATTTTTATTTACTTTGCTTTACGCTTAAAAAAAAAACTTTTTGCGGATAATCGGGAGTCTATTGTATTTTCGGAATTTGAAAAATAAGTTAAGAGTTGTCTTTAAGGACTACACAGTTATCAATACACACTCTCTAGTGTAAAAAGCTAGGGCTTCAACCGTTAAGAATTCTGGGAATAACAACAGTTTGTCCTTGCCAGTAACCTTTTTACTTTCACTCCCCCCCCAAAAAAAATGATGAATACTTATCTATTGAGAAATCAGAATCTTGACTTTTTGAATTTTTGAAATTTTGAATGAAAATTTGAAAAAATAATTTTGTCTACGTTTACGGATGTAGTTTCGAGTTTGTTTAAGAAAAAAGAGCCGGATGAAACTACACATTTCGATAACCTTCAAGGTATCAGAATGATTTGGAACATTGGCACATACTTGAAGCACAATAAACACACTTAGATGACCTTGAACTAACTGTAATGCTGAATCTCTTAAGAATTAATTCACTGATGGTTTAAAATGCTTTCTTTTTCCATGTGAATATTGTAGAGATGGGCGAAACAAATTCAGTATTTCTTTTCACTAGACATTCGAACCTTTGGATTTTATTGGGGGATTACTTTTATTCTGTAATCACTACACATGATTGTTATTATTATTTTGTTTGTTTGTTTGCTTGAAGTACTTGTGAAACACCACAGCAAAACAGTGATATTTTTTTCCACATTTAAATATATAAGAGGTAGCTGAATAAATTTTCCATTTGAAATAAATTTCACATTCTGCCCTTGAGGCAACCTGTCCCGTTAAAAAATGTAATGAACACAAAATTTTAAAAGTACTCATGTACGCTGAGGTGCAGAATTGCAGCAGTGTTGTTAGGAGTAGAACATAGATCCATATTGAAGAGGAAGAATACTGATTGCATAGAATACTGAAATATTGATCCACATTGAATAAGAAATTTGGCAGTTGAGGCAGTTTTAATTCCATTTTTAATTAAATTTACATTTATAGCCACAGTTCATTTGGCATTCTAATCATGCCTGTTCTCAGAACATTTACATTTTTAATACTGTTGCGATAGGAAGAGAAAACAGTGAAATGAAATGTCATCAAAGCAGCAACAGAGACATAAGCGAAGTAAGCATTTATCCAATATGGCAGCTCACCAAAGAGGAAGGTTTTTCTTTTTTAGATGTTTCAGTTCTCAGAGTTTCGGTTCTGAAATAGCTACATCATCAGCATTACACAAGCTTTGTGGCATAGATTATTCTAGAATTGACACAGTCCAGAAATGTTATTATCATTTTTAGAATAAAGAGGAAATAACTAAATAAAAAAAACAGCAATTAAAAGGCTATTACTGAATTAAATTATAGAGCTGTTTTACATATTTTTTTTTTTTTTATCTTACATACATAAATAAGAACTATGGAGACATTTGGAAGTTTATGTTTTTAATAGACCATGCTGCTTCTTATACAGGATGTTTGGAAAAGATGAATTCAGATTTTATTTTCTTTAATGTTGATCTTAAATATGCTCTTCCAATCACATACTTCTCTAAGTTAGGAATATTCCACTTTTATGTAGGGTTAGGGTATGATACACCCCACGCGCTTTCCCGTGGGTTAAAAGGATGAGTATATAAGATATTTTCTCTCTCCGCATGTTTTTGTTGTGTAATTGGAAGCACATGCAAAGCATATTCAAGCCCAGGTGATGGCACTGCACATTTTTCATGTCTCCTGGTTAAAAGAAAAAAAAAAGCGTACACTGTACAACTTCACTAAAATTATTTGCATATCTACAAAATTCATAACAATGTGCATAACATGATGCTAATTTCAAATGCTGAGAAGGAACAACTACAACAAATCCCTCAATAAAGTCAGCTCAACATAGATGGATTAACTCATGAAATAAACTGCTTTTCTGATATGATACATAGATTGCGTCTGTAAATTACATATTCATTTGCTGTTAAATTCAACTTAATTTGCATTCTAGTAATTACTTTTAGCTTAAATAAACCTTGCAGCTCCATCCCCCCCCCTGTTTTTAATGTTGAGTTTAATAGCATGGAACATCATAGCTTGTAATTAACATTCATCATGCTATTCTGCTTTTATCCTTTACAGTCAGCACTTCTAACAGAAGATCTTTATGATAACTTTATAACATGTGTTAAGAGCATGGGCATAGCCAGGATTGGAGCTAGGAGGGTGCAAACAATCTTAGACCAAAAAAACGAAACTATGATATGACACGAATTCGTTAATGGTAGAGTAGATAAAATTGCTGAGCACTTTAAACTTCCTTGATCCATGTGCAAGTGTTTTTTTGAACAGATTAAACAAATTATTATACTTTACAATGTTCATTTCTTTAATTATTTAACTCTAAGTATTTTGTCAGATTTAAAACACCATATTGACTCGAATCAGAAAAGAGTTTTGCAACAATTTTCCCCTTGTCATAAATCAGAGAAAGAGATCTGGACGTTGCAAATGTCATCATTACAAAGAAGCCTCTGGTTAGCCCCCAGGGTACTAAAAATTATACTTAGACCAGACAAAAAGAGAACACTTGTTTATAGGAAACTCTTGGAATTACAACCAGACATCCGTTACTTATTTATATCATTTAAGGTGAGTGCAAGCAAAAGGATGTCTCGAGACTAGGTGGTCCTTATTTGTATGACCGGCTATGAAAAATCTTTTGAGCTGGGTAAATATTAAAGTCGTTCAGCTAAGATTCTACTTGAGTGGGGAGACCTTAAAGATTAATATAAGAAACAGAGAAAACGTTTCACTAACTTGTTAATTGGAAAAAAAAAAAAAAAAAAGACTTTAGTGGGTGCAAATGCACCTCACTGTACCCCCATGGCTATGTCCATGGTTAAGAGTGTAGTATGTAGACAATTATTCTCAACTAACTATTTAATAAACTTTTATTATATTTATTGTAGCCAATGTGTTGCAAATAGCCTTTTAAAGAAATTATTTTTGGGGGAAAGGGAAGGGACCTTTATTAAAATTTTATTCTTTGAAACTTTTATCTAAGTCTGCTGCAATCGCAAAATGGAAAGCTGTGTTTTAGAGTGACATGCAGTTTAGCCAACTCAATCTAAAAGTTATAATTTAAAAATTATTTTATAAAATTCTGAGTGCAGTTTTTCATTTCATGAAAATAGAGAAGGGTTGATATAAAATACTAGGTAAAGCATCTTTTATGTTAAAGTAAATAAAACAACTGTATTAAAAAATGCTATCTGAAAAATTCATATGTAATTAAATATATTATATACATTCAATTACACACCTTAAAGAGTGTAAAGTTTAAATTGTAAACAGCCTTAAGATTAAAAAGAATGTGATCCTGATTTCAATCTAACATCCAAAACAATTTTAAGCTAGGTAACTACTATGGGATTATTAGTTTAAAAATTATTCTTCAGAAATTAAAAAAATGTATAGAACATAAATCTTGTATTTAAAATGAGCTTTTCAAAATGGCAAAGTTGGCATATAAACATATACTATGAACAAATTGTACAAAAAATTGTTATATTAGTTTGCAACGAATATTTCTGTCTTGCTGGTATATAGAATCTCTGAGCTAAAAACAATGAATACTTTGTAATGAATACCCCTGCAAATTCTGCAACATATATGTTCAGGTTAGCTTTGCTGGAAATGTAGACTCACTATCTCTCTATTTGCTTTCCAGGATGTTACTGTTTCATGTTGCTATTTTTTAGATATAATATCAGTTTATATTTTCCTTTCTTTTCAATAATATTTTATATTTATCATTGCAGGATTTAATAGTAGGATTTCATTTGTATTTTAAATTATTAAAATGAATGCAGTTTTCTCAAACTATTTATTAACTACTTAATTCATAAAATATATAATTACAAATGTTGACTCAGTTAAAATTATGAAATTCTGGTTTACACCAAAGTTGTTTTAGATGCTTGTATCCTGCAACCCTTTAGTTTGACCAAGAAAATAAAAGTCTAATTTAAAGTCAATAACTGATTAATACATGAAATTTTTTTTTAAAGTTCTGATGTTTGAAATATCTAAATATTGAGCTCTAATTTCTTTGTAATTTCTTCCTAGATGTTGTGTTAAAGCTGCTGAATATTATGCAGACCATTTAAAGACAGCAATTCCTATTGTTTTGGTATCAGAAAATGCTGAGGTATCTTATTCCTTTTATGCATTGCAAATGTAAAATTCCAACAAACGTAAAGCATAAAGTATTTATATCTCAGTTTCAATAATTTAGTTCTGGTCTTCCTTTTTGTAGGTGTTCCTTATGTTTTGCAAATGTGTATCATGCAATGTATGCCCATTACAATAATTTTGAGGTTTCCATAATTAAGTTTTGAGTGATTCAGGAAGAAGCGTAACTATTAGGCTATTACATCAAAAAAATTCATCTATAGTTGGCATTAATTTGAGTGGAAATCTCTGCAATTTAAGAGAATCTCGTGGTTTTCTTGCTTCTTCTTCAAACAAACTTATTCTGCTTAAATTTAATATATATATATATATGAGCAAATATCAGTTGAGGCATAATCTTTTAAACTAAGAAAATAAATTTATTAAAAAACACAAACTGAAGTAAAGCTTTTATTAATTTTTTTTAAAGATCAGGATTGAAATTTAAATGCTTTATTAAGGTTGAAACATTTCAGTGAAAATAATTTTTTTTTATTTAAAAGTGCAATTTATTAACTGTTGAATTTTCTTGGACAGGGGATAGTTTTAGCAGAAGATGCTTCTTTTTACTTCTCTCATAATTATATTAGTATTTGTTTGACATAAAATGGAATGATTTTTTTCAAATTTCCATTATATTATTTGTCTGTTTATTAAAATTGCATTAATATACAAGTTCTATTATTCATTATGCAGTCTTCATCTTAGATAAAATGTATTTTCAGGAATATAAGTCAATCATAAAACATGATGCAGTGAAAATATGTTCATTAAAGGAGTACCTTGAGACTATGTGGCCTGGCTTAGATTCTGCTTTGCAACTGTATGAATCTTTTACATTGGCTCTTTCGGCTGGTAGTGTTAAAGGTAAGTTTTTAATGTGTCTTATGGTTGATACCTAACAATATTGATTCTCAACCGAAAAATAGGTGCTACACAAAGAAGCAAAATATTTTTTAACTATTAAATTAAAAAATCTCATGAGGAAAAAGAACAATTGCTAGAAATTTTGTGTTGTTGAACTCTAACTGAAGATTTCAAAATTAACACACTTGTTAACTTTTGGCTGAACCGAGGTAGGTTTCTTGTTGCTTTGATTCTGTTGACAAATGAATGGGCTGTACAAGTCTGTTTTTGTATTTTTCCCCATTGTGGAATAATTGCAGATAGTTTCTCTTGAATACTCTTTTGGTGAAACAGCCCTGTGGCGTTCCGACAGATACTTCAACTTCTATTCATGAGATGGCGCCACGTGTAAAATCCAGTTCTTAATCGGAGCAGCAAAGCGACATCTTTACTCACTCAGACTTCTCGTCACACGACGGTACGCGAAGGTAGCATGAACTGTGTTCCGAGCTCTGTGTTGATCTCTGCAATGTAATTTAAATTGTAATTTAGTATTTAATATATTCTTTTGTTATAGGAGATTGTCTACTCTTATTTTCTTTAATTATATCATGCATTAAGCACACACGACCACCAAAAGTGGTGACCTTTTGACTGAGCACGCTACTGAGAATGGATTTTCAACGACCCTAAGCCACGTGCATCCAAGGCATTCTGAAGAACTGACTAAAAATAACAACGAATATGGACATTAAATGTATGCTACAACGTACCCCTTCAATTATTTCTAGATGTATTGATATATATTGCTTGTGTTTTTCAAAGTCGTGCATATCATCGCAAGGAGCTTCAGCAAATCATCAATGTGATCTGTTCCGTTCCGCTGACTTCGCCAGTCGTGCAATAATTCTTCGATCATTCAAGGACAAATGTGCTACAACAGTGATTTTCGCTAAATGTGCCACATCAGTAACTTTTGTGCAACGTGCTACGGCAAAATTCAAATTCGAAAGTAGTGAATTGTTTTCCCATGTGCTACAGGAGTGATTTCCTTTTTCCTTCGAAAGTGCCTTAGCAGTGTGAAGTGGTGATTTTGTGCGTGCGCAATACAAAATTAACGCATCATTTTTTCTCAAATAGGGGTTTCTTTTCAAATGCATTTCGGTAAAATATTATTTGTGTGTGTAATTGCTGACCCTGTATTATTTGTGTGTGTATCATTACGTAAATTTTTTATGCATGGTTAAAATATTTATTGTTATGGCAAAATATCAATAGTGTATCATCTTGCTACAATATTTGTGCTGTTAAGTGTTTATTATTTAAAGTGAAAATTATCTATCAGTATGCCCGACGATATTCCACCAGAGCCACAAATCACACGCGTTGCGGTGAAGCCACCGCCTTTCTGGAAAAATAATCCTTCATTGTGGTTCGCTCAGATCGAAGCACAATTTTCTATCGCTCGCATTAGTGAGGATTCTACAAAATTCAACCATGTAGTTGCAGCAATTGAGTCTGATATTCTGAATTCAGTGCATGACTTAATTCTCAAACCACCTGATTGTGATAAATACTTCCAAACTGAAACAGCGGCTCATTGAAATCTATTCAGAAAGTGAATCTTCAAAAATACGTACTTTACTACAAGGACTTGAACTTGGAGATCAGCGACCTTCATACTTGCTGTCACGAATGCGTGATCTGGCAGGAAGCCATTTTAGTGACGACTTGTTGAAGTCACTATGGCTTTCGCGTCTCCCTAATAACATACAAATAATTCTTGCTGCTTCCAATGAAGATCTAACCCGTTTAGCAGCAATGGCTGACAAAATTAATGAACTTGTTACTCCAGCTTATGTCAGTGCTGCTAATGCTGCACCTTCCAGTTCATCCCTCGAACAACAAGTGGCTGAATTGACCAAAAAAGTATCTGAACTCTCTACAAGTCTTCATGCTTCACGGAGATATAATCGATCAAATCAGGGCCCACGTAATAAATTTCGTGCCCGAAGCAGGAGTCAATCTCGTCATAATACTCGAACGCAGTACAAAGAACCCACAAGTGGCATATGTTTTTATCATATGAATTTTGGCTCTCAAGCTCGCAAGTGTGCCCCTCCATGCAATGTACTTTTGTACAAGCGGGAAACTAATGGGCGGTCTTCTGCTGGCCAACAGAATGTCCGCCACATCGACAGAATAGTACTGGCTGATCGTTCAACTCAGTTATGTTTTCTAGTAGATACTGGAGCTGACATATCAGTGCTCCCGAGAACTAAAACAAATGCTCACCAACTTAATAAACTTGTACTGTATGCAGCCAATGGTACCCAAATTGCAACCTACGGCACCAAACTATTGACACTTGATTTAAACTTGCGCCGGACTTTCAACTGGCCTTTTATTATTGCGGATGTAACTCAAGCAATTATTGGTGTCGACTTCTTGACACATTTCCACCTTCTAGTGGATGTCAAGAATAATTGCTTAATTGATGCTACAACTCAGCTGACATCACAGGGCCAAGCTTCTCACATATCGAACGTACCTACCAACATAAGTGTTTTTATCGGGCAGCACACGGTTTCATCGGTTATTAGCAGAATTCCCTGACATTTTAAACCCATCCAAATCAGGGCAGCATACTCATCAGCCAGAAGTGTATCATCACATTGAAACACATGGCCCACCTGTATTTTTTCCAAGCCTCGTCGTCTTTCTCCAGAGATGCTAAAAGCTGCTCGCAAAGAATTTGAATTCATGCTAGCACAGGGAACCATTCGCCCATCTAAAAGTCCATGGGCCAGTCCACTTCACATGGTTAAAAAGTCTAATGGTGACTGGCGGCCTTGTGGAGATTATCGTCGACTTAATGCCGTCACAGTCCCTGACAGATATCCAGTCCCACATATCCAAGATTGTACCCATCTTTTTCATGGAACAAACATATTTTCTATTTTCTACCCTCGATCTTGCCAGAGCATATCATCAGATCCCAGTGCATGCTGAAGATGTGCCCAAGACCGCAGTGACTACACCATTTGGTCTCTTTGAGTACTTATATATGCCATTTGGCCTTCGCAATGCTGGCCAAACATTTCAGCGTTTCATACACCAAGTACTGTCTGGCCTCGATTTCTGCATTCCATATTTTGATGATATCCTGGTTGCATCTACAGATGCGGAAGAACATTTTAAACATCTGCGTCAGATTTTCACTCGCCTTAAAGATCATGGATTAAAACTAAATCCATCCAAATGTGTACTTGGTCAACCCTCAGTTTCCTTTCTTGGATGTCTTATCACCCAGAATGGAGTCAAACCTTTACCGGAAAGAGTCAAAGCAATTAACGACCTACCTCAGCCCAAAACCATCTCTGAACTGAAGCGTTTTCTAGCAATGTTAAATTTCTACCGACGCTTTCTGCCAAATGCCGCAAAAACACAAGCCTGCCTACATGAGTTTCTGAAGAATAGCAAAAAAAAAACGATCAACGAGCTGTCCCTTGGACTGAATCTGCATCTGCAGCATTCGTGCAATGCAAACACGATCTGGCAAATGCAGCCACACTTTCTTATCACTCACCTAGTGATCAGCTCTCTATAATGGTAGATGCATCTGACACGGCCATAGGAGCAGTGCTTCAAGCCCATACCACTAAAGGACTTTCCCCAATGGCATTCTTTTCCAGAAAACTCACTACTACTGCAGAAAGGAAATACAGCACATATGACAGAGGAGCTACTTGCTGTGTACTGTGCTGTTAAATACTTCCGGCACAACTTGGAAGGACACGACTTCATCATTTTCACACGATCATCGACCATTAACCTTCGCTTTTAGAAAAAACTCTGACTCATGTTCTCCTCGTCAGCTTCGACATCTGGATTTCATCGCCCAGTTTAGTACAGATATCAGATATGTCTCTGGTACTGATAATTGTGTCGCTGATGCCTTGTCTCGGGTAAACAATATCAACCTCACTACCCCCCAGATTTCTCTGAAATTGCAAAAGCTCAATTGCATGATGAGGAACTCAAGAACCTAATCTCAAATCCACAAACCTCCCTTCAGTTACAAACCGCTGCACATTGATCCAACGCTTAAAATTTACTGTGACATAGAGAACAATAGAATACGTCCCTATATTCCTGTCAATTTTAGACGTGAAGTGTTTAATGCCTTGCACAATTTGGCACATCCTGGAATCCGTGCCACCAAAAAGCTGATCGCAGACAGATTTGTCTGGCCAGCGAATGAATCAAGACATCACAGAATGGACTCGTTCATGTATTAGATGTCAACGGTGTAAAGTATATCCCGTCACACTCACAGTCCCCATTCAACAATTTAACCTTCCAGCAAGACGCTTTGATCATGTACACTTAGACTTGGTTGGCCCATTGCCTCCTTCAAATGGTTACACTTACCTCCTCACTTGTATTGATCGGTACACAAGATGGCCTGAAGCCATTCCTATTGAAAATATATCCGCTGAAACTGTAGCTCGAGCATTCATCTCCCAGTGGCTTTCAAGATTTGGCATGCCTACCACCATCACTACTGACCAAGGCCGACAATTTCAATGTCACTTGTTCGCATCCCTCACCTCTCTTCTTGGCATTCGCCATATTCGCACAACACCATACCATCCATCTGGAAATGGGATGGTGGAACGCTTTCACCGATCTCTCAAACAAGGTCTGAAGTGCCACAGTAGCACACACTGGACAGAAGCCTTACCCCTAGTCTTGCTTGGTCTTCGCACAGCATTCAAAGAAGACATTGGTAGCACTTGTGCTGAAATGTTATATGGTGCAACCCTCCGTCTGCCAGGTGAATTCTTTCACCCAGAATCTACTCCAGTTATCGACCCTCCAACATTCCTTCAACGTTTACGTGAGACCATGAGCAATATCTCGCCAACCCCAGCATCTTCGCATAACCAGCCAAGCTATTTTGTACATCCTGCGCTTGAGACATCTTCGCACGTGCGCACGATGCAATTAAGCCAACTTTAACACCTTCATATGATGGTCCATTCAAAGTTGTCAAACGAACACCGAAACATTTCACCATCATCTGCAATGGCAAACAATCAGTGATTGGAATCGATCGTCTCAAACCAGCATTTCTAATGCAAGATCCAACAACTTCCTCATCAACATCACTCCCGGAAGAAAGCTTACATCCCGTTAAAGAGCAACCTAAAACTACCAGATCTGGAAGAAAGGTTAAATTTAACCCAAAGTACTTATAACGTACCGATGGTACTTGGGGGGGGAGTACTGTGGCGTTCCGACAGATACTTCAACTTCTATTCATGAGATGGCGCCACGTGTAAAATCCAGTTCTTAATCGGAGCAGCAAAGCGACATCTTACTCACTCAGACTTCTCGTCACACAACTGTACGCGACGGTAGCATGAACTGTGTTCCGAGCTCTGTGTTGATCTCTGCAATGTAATTTAAATTGTAATTTAGTATTTAATATATTCTTTTGTTATAGGAGATTGTCTACCCTTATTTTCTTTAATTATATCATGCATTAAGCACACACGACCACCAAAGCCCTTCTTAACCAGAGCCCTCAAGAAATCTTTATGATAAATAATATAATCATTCATTTTAGTAATATTTTTCTACTTGGATATTTGAGTTGGGGTTTGGAAAATAATTTTATATCTCGTGTGTTATTCTCAATGTTTCTGTTTGTAAGTTAAAACTAGAATCAAAATGTTATCATGCTTTAATAATGTAGCAAAATATAATTGAAATTTACTGAATTGATGGGAGGCTATATTCATGTGTTTTTATATACTGCTTCCCAAAAACTAAATATATGAGGCAAAATTTCTACTATTAAATACCTCCATGAATTTTATTGGATTACTTATGAATGTAATTGAAAATATAAGAGAAACTAATGTTACATTCAAAAACGATTTGCTCCTTGAAAAGTATGCAGAGGATGAAAAAAACTGATATGCTTAAAATTTTTGAAGAGCGTCAGCATTCATTTTGAGGTTATATTAGTCTTGTTACAGCATAAAATTACATTAGAGAAATTCTTAACATTTGCACTTTGTTGGGAGGCTTCAAGTAGGGAAGTCTATTATGGTACTTGCCAGTATTCTTTCATTTTTATTTCCTTGTATGAAGTAAAGGAAGTATTTGTAATCATGAAAAATTATGGGTATCATATTTCAACATAAAAAGCCTTTTGAGCATTCTCAAATCCATTTGAATGATTTTTTTGTGTGATTTCTGTATGTACAGACAGAATAAAGGACACTTTTTCCAAAGAGGATTGTAAAATGGATTCAGAAGAGATTTTTCATGTTCTTTGTACATACATACATACCTTGCATAACTCTAAAATGAGTAGCCATAAAACATTGAAATTTTGTTTATGGGACTATTATAACATTTAACTGAGCACCTCCTTTTCTTGTTGCAGTTGGCTACAGCAAACATATATATATATATATATACAGTCAAAAGTCGTTAATTCGGACACCCATAATCCGGAATGATCAATAATCCAGACTTCAAAGCTACAAACTTTCTGCGCATGCGTCGCGTTCACGCAGGCGCACAGGCGTTTACGAGAGCGCATAAGAACCTTGCGGCTGCGAATATGTTTGTGCGCACGCGCGTTTAATGTGTAACGGAGTTATACGCTAAGCTAAAGTTATCTAATTCAGTTAATGTTGCAGATTGCGTTGTTCCTTAATCTTCGAATTGGATCCGGCTTATTATTTTTTGCAGACTGTTAGAGCAATTTTATAAAAGTAAGCTTGAACTTTCGATTATGTCAAATAGAATTTCCGATATATATTTACTACAAAGCGAAAGTATGTTTTGAAATCCGAAATCTGTTTATCAATATCACGCTGCTCTGCGGCAGAGGGGGGGGGGGCAGAAACGTCATTATTAGATTATGATAGATTAGAAAGATTATGTCAAATAGAATTTCCGATATATATTTACTAATATGTAATTTGTATCTACAAAGCGAAAGTATGTTTTGAAATCCGAAATCTGTTTATCAATTTCACGCTGCTCTGCGGCAGAGGGGGGGGGGGCAAAACGTCATTATTAGATTATGATAGATTAGAAAGATTATGTCAAATAGAATTTCCGATATATATTTACTAATATGTAATTTGTATCTACAAAGCGAAAGTATGTTTTGAAATCCGAAATCTGTTTATCAATTTCACGCCACGGATTGGAAGTTGATCTGTCAGCACTATCCTTATCTTCAGAGCAGATGTTTTTATTTTATTTGGTTTATAATTCCGTACTAAGTGTAGTATTTCATCTCGATGTACTCCGTCTTTGATATGATTTAAATCAAGTTCTTCGTCATTATAATTCACTTCCGATAGCCAAGAAAGTGACCCAGAGGTTATTGAAAACGAAAACATTTCGATTGACAAATTAGTCGGTATTCTCAACACAGCAATTATAGGACTTGAACAGCGGAACTTTGTAACTAAACAAGAAATTATGTCTGTTTAATAGAATTAAAGAGAAAGTATTATCACATGAAACGAAGCAACTTACATTGAAGGAAATGTTTAATAAAGTAAACAAATAAATATTAAGCTTTTTTTTTTTTTTTTTTTTTTTTTTTTTTGTAAATTTTGATACCCTTTAGATCATAATTGTTCTTTATTTCATAAATTACGGTTTCATATTTTTAATTTTGTAATTTCTGCATGCCATCTTACCAGATTTAAACTGATGATCTATAATCCGGAATCGCCGAAGTCCCGACGAGTCCGGATTAACGACTTTTGACTGTATATCCACTCTGTTTACCTGGCTTTGGGGAGCTCAGTATTTTTATTCTGGTATGTTGGTAAATTGTATATTTTTTGCTTTAAATGTGGTTTAATTATGTTATTGTTATGTCCTGGTTAAGATTTTTATGCCTTTAGTTTATCTGCATGCAATAGTTGTAGAATTATCAATAATTTCAAAGTTTAATTAGTGCTAGGCCTAATGAGGTCGCCATTTGTTTACATTTGGAACTCTTAGTAGAGATTTGAATTAAGTTAGTTGGTACACCAACTTCAATGTCTTTTTGGACAGTGGGACCAAAAGTAAACTTTCAGTTTGGTGCAATGGAAATTTTGCATTTCTTCCCATTGGCCAAATTGCTGGTTTTGATGTAGAAACTCTAATTTTAATTGTAAAAATTTGTTTAACTACATTTGGAGTTTTAGGATTTTCTGTATTTTACATTTTTTATTGAAGATGTTTTTAGCTTTATGTATTTTTGCCTTGCCGCAAAACCAGTTGATTGAATGAGAAATATATCTCTAATGAAATCAAAGGAAATAAATTTAAATGAGATGCAGCAAAAATGTGTATAGTTTAATAGGGTATGTAAGGAAGTCGTGGTGTACACGTCAGGTGTTTCATTTGTGTAAACAATTCCAAATAAATGGAATAGTTATCTGAAGCTCCATTCCAGTCTTTTTTAGGGTTACAACAGCTGATGGCCACATGTTATTGCCAAGCACATCTGCTGAATGATATCACCAACTCATCAAGCAGTGGTTTTAATCAGTTATTCCAAAAATTATAAAAAAAAATTTTTTTAATCCTAAAAAATTAAAAAATGCATGCATTAAATTGGAATATTATATTTATTTATGGATTTTGATACCTGCACACATTTACATATGCTCTCAGAATTTAAATGATGTTGTAGATTAGTTTGCAGCAATAATTAATCATTTATTTGTTTACAATTAAAATTTCGTAATTTAAATTTAATTTTTAATTATCTTTAAATTTGCTTTTTATGAATAAAGAATGTTTGTTAAATTCAAATATATATATATAAAGCTAGTCAATCCTTTTAATGCAATATTTTCATAAGTGTCATTCAATTTTCCTCTTTGTAGACATAACAATAACAAAATCATATGAACTGTGTCATTCAATTTTCCTCCCTTTAGATTTATCAAAATCATACGAAAATTACTTGCCAACAGAAATTCTTGAAGCAGGCATTAAAGCTGGACGATTTTATAAAGGTTATTTACGTGTGAATAAACATAATGCTTTACAAGAGGCATTTGTTGCTTCATCAAAGTGAGTAAACATTTCATATATGTGCTTTTTTAATAAAGAACTATGTGCATGAAATATTTTTTTCTTTTTATTTAAGTATTAAATAATCTATAATGAATAAACTGTGTAAAGTGTATAAAAATACTCTGTTAACTATAATTGTAATTGCTTTCCTTCTTCTTAACACTCCTGGATAAGAATTCTAAATTTGTATTTGTTCTGACAGATTGAGCTGTGTCGTTGCATGTTGATACCTTAATGTAGGGGTCTTCAACCTTTCATGTTCGAAAGCCACATCAGTAAATTCGCAAAGATCCGCAGGCCACATGTCTGTCAAAAAAAATAGTGTGGTCAAAAAATTTATATAAAAAAGGGAGGTTTGTGTTGCAAGAATACAGTTGATTCTAAGCAAAGAGGTAGTGTTACAGATTTGTATATATATACATTAGTTCTAAAAAGTCAAATGGAAATCAAATTAAAATGGTTTGCAAATGTTTAAACTATTAAAAAAGTATAAAGATGATTGTACCGAACAATGTTACAAAATGCATTTTCAATAAAAAAAATATAAAAAAGAAGAAGAATAAAACTTACCCAGGAGATGATAGTTACTTTAGTTTTAATGTGAAATTTGTATTTTTGCTTGATTAAATCTTCAATATCCAATTTAATCTGTGTTGTTGCAATTCGTAAAGTTTTCTCCAAATGTTTGTCTTTCAGCCGTGTTCTTGTTTTTGAGTTTAGGATTTTAATTTTACTAAAAAGCTGTTCACATATACAGGTACTGCCAAAGATAGAAGACATGCAGAATGCATGTTTACGAATTCCTGGATACTTGTCTTCGGTCATGTACTTCAAATAAAAATCAATTAATGTATGAATTTCAAGAAACTTGTGATTTACTGCAGAGTCACACTATAAATCTATAAATTCTAATTGAAGTTCAGGTGGAACACTTCCAACATCTACTGAAAACATTCTTATAAAAACTTCATTTTCATGAAAATTGAAAAATTTGCTTTTGAATTTCTCTTTCAAATTTGAAATGCATTGTACATAATTATTTAAATTCCATGCTGTAGAATTCTTCACACATTCCATCAATTTTGGAAAGTGAGTGGGATTCTTATTTAGCAACTGACTTTGCCACAGAATTCATTTTGTCTCAAAAACTTTTACAAAGTAATAGAAATTATCAAGAAGTAGATCTTTTCCCAGTAAGCGGTAGTTGAAATCATTGAGATAACCTGTAATATTGATGAGAAATGCAAAGTCTCTCAACCATTTCTCATCACTAAAGTCGTGAATGGATTTTCCTTTAGATTCAATGAAATGTTGACTTTTGCTCTTCAAAGAAAACAGATGCTGAAGCATCTTTCATTGGCTCAACCAACATACTTCCACGTAATATACAACATCATTATATTTAGCTTCCAAATCACTCAAGAACTATTGAAATTGCCTGTGTTTAAATCCTTTAGACTTAATGAAAATTAACCACTTTTACAACAACATTCATCACAAATTCAATGTTTGAGAACTTCTTGCAAAAATTTTCTTGGTGGATGAGCAGTGAAAATTCATCATAGTACTATTTCTGCTTGCCTTCACATCAGACTTGAATAATGTTGTTACTCCTATTTTCTCTAAAGTCATAGATTTAGCACCATCCATGGTTATAGCAGATATATTAGTGAAGTCTAACTCGCTTTTATCCAAAGTTTGTGTCAGACTCGAATGGAAATCTATTCCTCGTGTTTAAGTGTAATGAGACTGGCTAATTCCTCTATAATTGTGAAGTTTCTAGCATTGCCACAAATAAAAATGGCTACTTGTGCAGTATCTGTTGCATCTGTTGATTCATCCATCGCTACAGACACACCAGACAAGCTAATAATCAATATTCAATATGACCTGAGCCTGTGATGGACAAAGCACATCAACTGCACTCTGAAGACATTTTTTTTACAAATTCTTCATCAGCAAAGGGTTTTCCACATTTAGCAGTTTTTTCTGCTATCATGTAACTAACACAAACACTATCTTCAGATTCTGTATTCTCTGTGGTGAAGAAAGACTGCTGAAAATTTGGTTTTGATTTTAATTCACTCTCCTTTTCACTTCGAAAATAACCTTTCAATGAAGAATATTCTTCACTGTGGTTAGTATCATAATGTCTTGTAATGTTGTATTCCTTCATCATAGCTATACTGTCGTTGCAAATAGGGCAAACTGCCTTATCCTTATGTACAACAAAAAAGTAAGGATCTGACCACTTTTCTTGAAAAAAATCCCACTTTTCCTTCAACATTCTTTTTTTTTTGTTATCACAGCTAGCCATTGTGTACTCATTCAAAGACCATATACACATCTGAATTTTAGAATGTGGAATGAGCGTGAGTAACCTAGCTTAAAATCAACTGTAGAAAATCTGTTTAGCACCAAATCAAACAGGATGTTTACGATCACCGTTCCCTTTGACAATTAATTCTAACATTAGGAGAAATAGAATTCTGTTAGTTTATTCCCCCTCCCCTCTATAGAAGTAGCATACTCAAGGTCACTTTTGGCGAAGTATTGACGAAACATTGACATCTGTTGCAAACCTGTTAGAGATAAGAATATATCCTTTTTTTGGAATTGAGATTTTATGCGTAATCAAATGTTTTATTTTTAAAATGACATAAGATATAAAGTGAAATTTTTGTAAAATTCGTCATTTTCAGAAAATTTTATCTCAAGTAATAGCAGGCATGCCAATAAAATGTTTTAAATATCAAGAATGAGAGGAAAACAAACTACGACAAAGAGCTGACAAGGCAATTTTTTCTTGAAATCAAAATAACATAAAATTCTTAAATTTTTCTTGAAATTCCAATCTGGGGCCACTAAAATGCCTCTTACATTCAGTATATACAAGCCTGCCATCTAACAGGTTAATGTTACAGCTTACTGCCTCTCTGCCACCTAACAGATAATGTATTACAGTCAAAAGTCGTTAATCCGGACTCGTCGGGACTTCGGCGATTCCGGATTATCGATTTTTCTGGATTATAGATCACCAGTTTAAATCTCGTAAGATGGCATGCAGAAATTCTAAAATTAAAAATATGAAACCGTAATTTATGAAATAAAGAACAATTATGATTTAAAGGGTATCAAAATTTACAAAAAAAAAAAAAAAAAAGCATAATATTTATTTGTTTACTTTATTAAACATTTCTTTCAATGTAAGTTGTTTAAGTTGCTTTGTTTTATGTGATAATACTTTCTCTTTAATTCTATAAACAGACATAATTTCTTGTTCATTTACAAAGTTCTGCTGTTCAAGTCCTGTAATTGCTGTGCCGAGAATACCGACTAACTTGTCAATCGAAATTTTTTCGTTTCCATTAACCTCTCTGTAACCTTCTTCATGTCTTTATCCATTTTTTTGCAGCAATTCCACTTTTTATTTGATGGACATCGAAACATACTTTCATTTTGTAGATCCTTTGGGAGCTCCAGCATCAGAAATTTTATTTGACATAATCGAAAGTTCAAGTTTACTTTTATAAAATTGCCCTTACAGTCTGCAAAAAATAATAAGCTGGACCCAACTCAAAGATTAAGGAACAACGCAATGATCTACATTAACTGAAATAGATAATTAGATAATTTTAGCTTATACCGTCCGTTATACATAAAACGCACACGCGAAAACGTATTCTGCGCTTGCGCCCACGCATATGCGCAGTCGTAAAGGTCACGCGCACGCGTAAACGCCTATGCGCATGTGTCAACGCGGCGCTTGCGCAGAAAGTTTTTAGCTTTGAGGTCCGGATTATAGATCATTCTGGATTATAGGTGTCCGAATTAACGACTTTTGACTGTATATCATTAGCAGTAAGATACCCAAGATCTGGCCATTGGCATTTAATAATGCAACTAACTTTTTGCATGGTGCACCCTCTGGTAAAAATCACTGCAACTGGAGGTGACCAAACATCCTTTGCGCTTCCGATGAATTACTTTCATATCGCTACAATTTTCAATAGATGCAAACAATTAAATAAAAACATAGAAATTGAAAAATCTGCAAAAAATAGGAAATTACATTTATTTACACTACGTATTATCATCTAGCAAAATAGCTTAAGACTTATTGTATTCAGCAATTAGCTATAAGGGTTAAACTAAAATAAAAAAATTAAAATATTAGTACAGTAAGCAAATTAAAAAATAACAAAACATATTCAGTATAAATCTTCCACTAAAATTTAATGTCCTTCATTGATTGGCAAAAGACGCAGTTTGGTAAGAGGACGTTTAAGGTCCTTGTGTACAGTTTTTAGTTTTACCACTCAAAAATTGTCTTTTCCAGGAAATGTCCATATTATGCGACCGAATGTCCAATGTGAAGAAGGTATATTATCTTCTTTAATGAGAACCGAGTCTTTTATACAAGTACTTCTGCTAGGCTGCCTCCATTTGTTATGCTGCTATAATTGACACAGGTACTCTTTTGACCTCTGCTTCCTTCTGGAACAGCTGTTAAAGGAGTCTATATAATAAAGTGTCCAGGAGTCAGAGCTGTCAGGTCATTGGAATCACTGGAGATCAGTGTTATAGGCCTCAAGTTTAAACATGCCTCAATTTGGCTAATTAGTGTTCACAAGTCAACATTTAGAATCTAACATGTTTCTTTAAGTGCAGCTTCATGGATATAATAGCTGCTTCTCATATACCACCATGATGTGGAGAAGTTGGCATACTGAAACATAAATATACATTTTCAATTTGATAACCATCTTTCAAATTCTGAATTTGACTGGATAGAAGAAATTGTTTCGTTCATGATTTTATTTGAACCAGTAAAATAAGTTCCACAGTCACTTCTTATTTCTTGAGGTTTTTCTCTCAAGCAAATTTTTTCAGAGCAACTAAGAATGCTTCACTTGATAAGTCACTGATAATCTGTAAACGGATGACTTTTGTAACTAGACAAATGAAAATACAAGCATGACATTTAACTGGCCTTA